CTGCTGAAAATCTAGACGTGACATCAGAGCCTCAGCAGACGCTCTGGAAACCGCTTGATATTACCCTCGAGTTCTCAGGTGTGCTAACGTCACCTCTGGGTTTTTGGACACATGCAAATGTGATGTATCGTTTCACCTCTTTTCTTCGCCCCCTCTTCTCCCGGAAGCCTGAACTCAAAGGCACATGGGAGGGCCCAGCCAGTGGGAGATTGGCGCTCCTGGGCCTTTGGTCTGATCGAGCAGGGATGCTGCCGCCGTTTAGAGCTGTGGAGTTCACAGGATAAATGTCACATGTTAGAGAACTCTGAAATGTGTTGGCCGTGTTCCTCATCGTCCGCCCCCCGAGGCTCATAGGAACCTGGTGCTTCCCTTCCACCTCTCCTTCAGCTTTACTCAGAAATTGTTACCCATTTTGTTGATTGTAGACAGGGCAAGGTTTCACAGCCCTGGGAAGAGGGTGCATGAAGCAGGATACGCACAAGCAAGGAAATTCGAAGTCTCGGCTCAGACCCTTTCTTCCAACGTTCTCTCCCTCCCAGGCAGCGAAGAGACGGTGTTGAGTCATCATCTTTGTGGAGGAGTGGAAATGGCTGCTGCCCCTGCAGTCCAGGTAAGGGAGATGAGCAGGGGACCGCCTGAGTTCCACCTCCTTTCTCAGGGGAGCTTTTGCTCCTGCAGTGGCTTCTCAGGCATCGGAGCAAGACAGCCCCTCTTCCCCCGCCAACCTCTCCATCCTCCACCCCACCAGGATGCCCGTTTCCTGGGGGCAGTCTTGCCTGGCTTGATCACTGATGACAAAGTCTACTTTTTCTTTCAGTGTCCGTTTTCCTTTGAGGAGGTGGCCGTGTATTTCACCGTGGCCGAGTGGGAACTGCTAGATCCGGACCAAAGAGTGCTCTACTGGGAAGTCATGCTGGAGAACTATGCAAGTGTGGCCTCTCTGGGTAAGGATCTTTCCTAGGTGCCAAAGGTGTGAATTGCTGCCATTGTGATGTTGTGTGAATCAAACTATTGAAGAACAGCATGTCATTGTGGGGCCTGGCCCTGTACTCACCCCCTCTAGATGAGTCCAGGAGTTGAGGTGGTGGTGAAAGCAGCCAACAGACGTGGCTGGTCCAGGGGCCACTGCAGCCACTGCCGTGGCCAGCACGAGAGGCAGGGTGGGTGTCACGGCCTGAGGTGGAGACAGGCAAAGGCCTTGGGTCACTCTTCCTCCCCTTTTCTCTCTCTCTCTCCAAAGAAGGCACGGATGTGCGAGAGACTGCAGTGGAGACGGACGAAGGGCTGGAAAGTTTCTCAAGAGGATCTCAACAGAATATTTCCTTCCTGAGTGAATTGGATGCAAGTGAGTCTGCTCCATCATCATTATGTCAAGGGAATGGGCAAAGAATAGCCATGGCGGATTTCTGCTTCACTTCTTAGCAACTCTTGGCTGGGTAGAATGATAATGCCCTCTGGGTAAGGAGGGAGGGAGGGAGGCCTTTTGGGGCCTGAGTTCTTGGCTATTCTTTCTGGGGCTGAGGTCAGTTGTGGCTCTTTTAGAAGAAGAGGAGATTGGATTTATACCCTGCCCTTCACTATCTGAAGGAGTTTCAGAGCGGCTTACAATCCCCTTCCTTTCCCCTCCCCACAACAGACACCCTGTGAGGTGGGTGGGGCTGAGAGAGCTCTTTTGAGGACTGTCCTTGAGATAACAGGTCTGAAAGAACTTGTGACTGACCCAAGGTCATACCAGCAGCTGCATGTGGAGCAGTGGGGAATCAAACCCGGTTCTCTCAGCTTAGAGTCTGCATTCCTAAGCACTATGCCAAACTGCTCCCTTTAGGGGCTGCACTGTCCTTAAATACTGGATATTCCAGGGAAAGATGGGTTATTTACTTGAGAACAGCTTTGCTGGACGAGTCAGACGCCCATCAGCCTTTTCCTACCCTGGTCTGTTACATGTCTCCAGGCCACCCCTCCCTCCCCCAAAACCTGGTATTCCTGTGGGAGTTCCCTTAGAACTGTGGGGTTCGCTTGCTGAGGTCCTGACTTCTCCCCTGCCCCAGCAGACATGTGTTATTGGAGTCTGAAGACCAGCTCCTCTTCTCTGTCCTCACACCTGGACAGAAATTCTGTACAATCCCAGGACTAGGAATTACGATCACTTTTTAAATTTCATCATCAAAAGACCTGCATGGCAAGGCAATCGGGAAAGGCAGAGAAAGAGATGTTTGCCAGCTTTTCCCTTAAAGTATGCTTGGGGAGTTTTGTGGAGGGGAGGGATGGTCACAATATAGAAAAAGCTGTACTGGAAAGGCTGGCCAGGGACAAGTTGTGACCAGCAGCTCAGGAGATAAAATGCACACCCATTAATCAGGAGTTCCTGATTGGTGGCTTGGCTCCTTGTGTGAGTGGTGATTGGACCTCCCTCTTTATCCCAGCAGGGGACGTTGAGGAGTCAGGCGGGGAATTTCAGGGGTTCTTCCTGGAAAAATCCCAGAATGAACAAGCCAAAGGAAACTTTGGGAATAGAGATGGACCAGAGAGGCAGGAAGAAATCTGTATGGTAAAGAGGCAGCTAAAGGCCATTCCTAGCCAAGAAGGGGACTTCCATGAAATCCCAGTCAGCAGCCGTCTCCAATGGACTCATTCAAGAGTGAAGCCACTTATCTGCTCCAAGAGTGGAATGACGTTCTCCAATAAAAGAAAGGGTAATGTATGTTTTCCAAACCACAATACACTGAAGGCATGGAAGTGTTGTTACTCTGGAAAGTACTTCAAATACAGACCACAACTTCTTGTACGCCAAAAAATACACGCAGCACAGAAGCTTTTTGAATGCTTGGAGTGTGGAAAGAAATTCAGTATGAATTCCAGTTTACAAAAGCACCAAAGAATCCACTCAGCAGGGAAAGTGTTTGAATGCTCAGAGTGTGGAAAGAGATTTAGTCGGAGTGGCATTCTTCAACAGCATGAAAGAATCCACACGGGGGAGAAACCTTTTGAATGCTTGGAGTGTGGAAGGAGATTTAGTCGGAGGGGCAGTCTTCAAGAGCATCAAAGAACTCACAGAGGGGAGAAACCATTTGAATGCTCAGAGTGTGGAAAAAGATTCATTCAGAGTGGCCATCTTCAAAGGCACCAAAGAACCCACACAGGGGAGAAGCCTTTTGAATGCTCAGAGTGTGGAAAGGGATTCAGTCAGAGTGGTAGTCTTCAAGACCATCAAAGAACCCACACAGGGGAGAAACCATTTGAATGCTTGGAGTGCGGAAGGAGATTTAGTCGGAGCGACAGTCTTCAACAGCATCAAAGAATCCACAAAGTGGAGAAAACTTTTGAATGCTCAGAGTGTGGAAGGAGATTCAGTCGGAGTTCCAGTCTACAACTGCACCAAAGAACTCACACAGGGGAGAGACCTTTTGAATGCTCAGAGTGTGGAAGGAGATTCAGTCGGAGTTCCAGTCTACAACTGCACCAAAGAACTCACACAGGGGAGAGACCTTTTGAATGCTCAGAGTGTGGAAGGAGATTCAGTCGGAGTTCCAGTCTACAACTGCACCAAAGAACTCACACAGGGGAGAGACCTTTTGAATGCTCAGAGTGTGGAAGGAGATTCAGTCGGAGTTCCAGTCTACAACTGCACCAAAGAACTCACACAGGGGAGAGACCTTTTGAATGCTCAGAGTGTGGAAGGAGATTCAGTCGGAGTTCCAGTCTACAACTGCACCAAAGAACTCACACAGGGGAGAGACCTTTTGAATGCTCAGAGTGTGGAAGGAGATTCAGTCGGAGTTCCAGTCTACAACTGCACCAAAGAACTCACACAGGGGAGAGACCTTTTGAATGCTCAGAGTGTGGAAGGAGATTCAGTCGGAGTTCCAGTCTACAACTGCACCAAAGAACTCACACAGGGGAGAGACCTTTTGAATGCTCAGAGTGTGGAAGGAGATTCAGTCGGAGTTCCAGTCTACAACTGCACCAAAGAACTCACACAGGGGAGAGACCTTTTGAATGCTCAGAGTGTGGAAGGAGATTCAGTCGGAGTTCCAGTCTACAACTGCACCAAAGAACTCACACAGGGGAGAGACCTTTTGAATGCTCAGAGTGTGGAAGGAGATTCAGTCGGAGTTCCAGTCTACAACTGCACCAAAGAACTCACACAGGGGAGAGACCTTTTGAATGCTCAGAGTGTGGAAGGAGATTCAGTCGGAGTTCCAGTCTACAACTGCACCAAAGAACTCACACAGGGGAGAGACCTTTTGAATGCTCAGAGTGTGGAAGGAGATTCAGTCGGAGTTCCAGTCTACAACTGCACCAAAGAACTCACACAGGGGAGAAACCTTTTGAATGCTCATTATGTGGAAAGAGATTCATTCGAAATACGACTCTTCAACAGCACCAAAGAACTCACACAGGGGAGAAAGCTTTTGAATGCTCAGAATGTGGAAAGAGATTCAGTCAGAATTCCAGTCTTCAAAAACATCAAAGAACCCACACGGGAGAAACCTTTTGAATGCTCAGAGCCAGGGCCCAGCAGAGTAAAAAAAAGGTCACGTGCCCCTGCTTGCTTTTAAGCTCCATTCTCACCACCCTAATAAGGCAAAAGGATTTTCCAAAGGGGGCGTAGCATCGGAACGCTGCCACATGGACGCCTAAATCCGTCGCTCCGTGTCCACCCCGCCTGAATACCCATGCAAACAACCGAAAATCACAACTAAACTACCCCCGCAACAACGATTGACTTGTTAAAGCACTCCGGCTCTGGTGGCGTTCAAAAGGGTGAGTGAAAAAACCTTTAAACAAGCCATTTCCGAAGCCCCGCATTGCAATCGGACTATTTTCAAAATGGCCGCCGATAGCAAAAATAAAAAGAGAGACCCACAGGACGAGCCCATAACACTGAAAATGCTCCAAATAACTTTAAAAAACTCTTTCCAGAACTTTGAAAGCTCAGTTCTAGACAAGTTCAACTCAAAAATTGATACAGCCATACAGCCTTTAACGGAGCAAATAAACCAACTAACAATGGCTTTAGAAACGACAAAAGCGATTGCTGAAACAGCATGTACGCTCGGCACCACCATACAAGCAGAAAATCAAGACATACAAAAAGAACAAGTCTACATGGAAGAATGAATATTGGTTCAGGAAACTGAAGCATGGAAACACCATTTAAAACTAAGGGTTCAAGGAAATCCCAGAAGAAGAAGCAAAGGTTTTAAGTGCTATTCCAACATGGCTGGCTTCACTGATGCATAATGAAGAAGATAATATTCAGTTATCTACAATAAAAATATATAGGCTTGGAATCCCAAACAAGCCCAACAGAAAATATCCAAGAGATATCTTGATTGAACTGGCTGACCTAAAAGAAAAAAAACGCCATTATGAAGGTGGCTCGTGAACTCGGCGCTTTAACGTTCAATGATGTAAAAATCAGCGTCTTTCCAGATTTACCAGCAGAAGCCTTAAAAATACGCCAACAATTGAGAGAAACCACATTGAAACTTAGAGAGCACAAGATTCAATACCAATGGTTATCTTCAGGCCAAATCAGAGTCCAACATCATGGAAAACAATACTTCGCTTCAGACAAAGACAGTGGACTTTATCTATTAAGAGCCTTGCAACTAGAAGAACCCATGGAAACTACAAAACCTTCTTTCAAAAGAAGAATACCATTTGAATTTTCTCCACAAAAAGCCACAAAGATTCCGGTGTTTAATGTGCCAACTGCGGGAGTAAACAACTACAGAAGATAAAATTGACTGCATAAAGTTGCGCAAGTTTTTGCTATCTTTAATTTTAGTTAAAGAACTCAGTAAAGAATTGTTATATATGTGATTGGGAAACAATATTTTGTTTAACAATGGGGAGAAGGGTGGGGGGTTGGAAGGAGAGTCACTAAGGATTGAAGCCTCTAAGTACAGATTAGAGATAGGGATAAACAGAGCACTCTGAGAAAAAGAGTGCAGGGAAGGGAGTTAATTTTTTTTTTTAAAGTTTAGTTTAGATAGGTAGAGAAAAGAAAACAGGGCACAAATTGAACGTACATTACAAGAGTCTATACGCAACTGAAATTTATTTAAATTTTGCAGTTATTTCCTTGTATTGAATATTGTATTGATAAATCCCAACTTTGAGTTTGATAAAATGTCTAAACTGTTGAAAATAATGTCTTGGAACATGCGAGGTTTGAATAATAATATAAAACAAAGACGCATAACTTCTCACATTTTAAGGAATAAACCTGACTGTATATTATTACAGGAAACGCATCTTAAAAGTAAGGTCCACCCAATAGTGAAATCTTAAGAACATAAGAACATAAGAGAAGCCATGTTGGATCAGGCCAATGGCCCATCCAGTCCAACACTCTGTGTCACACAGTGGCCAAAACCCAGGGGCCATCAGGAGGTCCACCAGTGGGGCCAGAACTCCAGAAGCCCTCCCATTCTTGCCCCCCAAACACCAAGAATACAGAGCATCACTGCCCCAGACAAAATGTTCTATCTACACCTTGTGGCTAATAGCTGCTGATGGACCTTTGCTTGGTATAAGGAACAATATATGTCTGTAGGTTCATCCAAATCGAGAGGCACCGCAGTCATCTTAGCAAAAAATTACATTTTGAATTACAGGGAGAACTGATTGACCCAAATGGCAGGTACAACTTTATAAAAGGAAAACTGGAAGGTAAGCAGGTTACCATAGGATCTGTTTATGCTCCAAATGAATCACAACTCACGTTTATAAAAAATACTTTAAGCCTTTTACAAGCATTTCAAGAAGGAGATGTAATAGTGGGGGGGGATTGGAATTACCCCTTAGAGTTTTTCATGGATAAATCTAAACAAAAAATAAAAGTACAAAAGGAAAACAGGAATTCACCTCTCAACTACAACATGTCATTAGATCACATGGCTTATGTGATATTTGGAGAGTCAAAAACCCAAATGAAAGGGATTATACCTTCTTCTTCAAAATTTGATGTCCACACTAATATTGATTTTATTTTAATTTCATACTCACTATTAAATTCTATCAAAATGGTTGACATTGGAATCAAAATATGGTCTGACCATCACCCTAACTACTGTGATATAAACTGGTCAGAAACACAACAAACCACAAAAAAATGGACTTTGAATAAATCTTTATTGTTTAATCCCGAAATAACCAGCCAAATAACAGAAACAATAAAAAAAATTTGGAATGAAAATGATCCACTGGGAACCTCACATCAAAATACATGGGATGCAATGAAGGCAGTTCTTAGGGGTAAACTAATTGCAATTGCTTCTCACCTGAAAAAAGAAAAGAACAAATATTTACAATCAATCCAAAATAATATCAAAAGACTAGAATTGTTGCACAAACAGAACAATTCTAAAAAAATTCTTAAACAATTAATAGCTGAAAGAAAAATACTAGAACAAGAAGCAAATACAAAAATTCAAAAAGATCTCATATTTATTAAACAAAGATATTGGACAAAATCCTCTAAATCCTTAAAATTACTTTCCTGGAAAGTTAAAGACAAAATACAGTCAAGACAAATTCAAGCTCTGCAAAATTTTAACAGAGCATCTTAACAGAGCATCAAGATATAAAAAAGATTTTAGAAAAATATTATAAAACACTTTATGAATCCAAACATATTCACACTGAGAACATTTCATCTTTCATGATGAAACATAACTTATTAAAGAAGATCTCCAAAACGCATAGGGAATATTTAGATAGTACAATAATGCAAGCAGAAATATTAGAAGTTATTAATCAACAAAAAAACAATACTGCAGATGGTCCAGACGGATATCCTCCGGAATTTTATAAAGCTTTTAAATCAATTTTAATAAGACCTTTAGAAGACTTTTGTAATGAAATAATGACATCAGCTAATATTCCAGCTTCTTGGAATCAATCGGAGATGGTCCTATTATTAAAACGAGGAAAAAATGCAACACTTCCTACATCTTATAGACCAATTTCTTTATTAAACTCAGATGGCAAATTATTCACTAAAATTATAGCAAACAGACTTTAAAAAATACTCCCAGAATATATACATTCAGACCAATCTGGTTTTTTGCCTAAGAGAAATATTATTGAAAACATCAGAAGGACCCTGAATATAATTTCACATTGTGAAAACTATTCTGTAGAAGCCTTGCTGATGTCTTTAGATGTCAGCAAGGCTTTTGATAGCATGGAAACAAACTATTTACAAGAAGTGCTAAGAAATATGCAGTTTGGAACAAATTTTCAAAAAGTCATCCAAGCTATATATAAAGAATCCACAACACAAATTAAAGTTAATAATGATTTGTCAAATACCATTTATTTAAAAAGAGGGACGAGACAGGGTTTTCTCCTCTCCCCACTATTATTTATTTTAGCTATTGAACCCTTAGTAGAACATATTAGAAAAAACAAGAAAATACATGGTGTACAGATTGGAAACTTGTCTCATAAAACCAGTCTTTATGCAGATGACATTATTTTATATATTACAAAACCAAAAGACTCGTTGAGGGAAATTTTTACAACGTTAAAACAATTTGAAAACATTTCAGGCCTTAGTTTTAATAATGAAAAAACTATAATTCATCCAATACATATGAAGGAAGATTTAAAAATAACAATAGACAAAGAGTTCCAATTGAAAACACCTACAAAATCGTGGAGGTATTTAGGTATTTATATTCCATTAAGCCAAAATGATTTGGTGAAAGATAATTTTGATAAACTACACTCTGAAATCAAGACAACTTTAAAACAATGGGAATCAAAATCTATATATTGGAATGATAGAAGAAATTTAATTAAAAGTTTTATATTACAAAAATGGCAAGCTGAAATAAACAAATTTTTATGGGCAGGAAAAAAGCCCAGAATAAGAGCTACAACAATGTATAGATTGCCTAGTCGTGGTGGTCTGAACATACCTAATCTTCAATGGATATATGAAGCAATTAACATCAGCACCTTAATAATAAGGGCCAAACTAGAACATCCTCCAATTTGGACTCAGATAGAATTAGAACACTTAGAACCTTGTACCTTATATGAAACATTATGGGACCCAAAAATACTACAAAAATGTAGGCAAACTCAAAACCCATTTTTAAATAACTCGTTAAGAATTTGGTATAAATGGAAATCTGTCTTGGCTCCAGGAATATCGAGTCAATCATCATACATTAGACAAGAATGGTTTACCCCGGGTAAAGATTGGGAATATTATGACAGTTGGCAAAAAGCAGGTATAACAAAACTTTCACATTTTTTTTGAAAAAAATGACATCTTGATGAAAGCTCAACTAGAAGAAAAAGTTAAACATAAGATACATTGGTATAAATATGTTCAAATAAGACACCTTTTGGACTCTCCTCCACTGAAACAAATGAGGAGCCGTGCATTAACACCTTTAGAACAATTTTTGGATAAGGAACCCAAACTATTTCACAATCTCACTTCTTTAATTT